GAGAGACTGCCAGGCAACACCAGGGATCTCTAGATAGAGCTAGGAAAGGCTCCCGCCTGTAACTCCCAGACAGCATTTGCCAGTTGGGGAGTTGGAAATACTGGGATAGATGAACCTAGGGCCTAACCCAGCGTAACACAATCTCTTATATTCCTAAATCTAAATCTGCAGTGCAAAAGGCACAAGGGCTGCATGATCAAGGATTTCAGGGCATAACAGAGGAGGCAGCTTACATGCAACCCCAGAGCTACATTTATGAGTCACAGAAAGCCAGAATTCTTTGGGAAATTCTGGCTTACTGGGAATGAGCCGTGCAACGGTGCCTACAGTTTGTTCCTCCCAGATAAAGAGATCACAAAACCAAGTAGGAAAATGCATTCTCGAAGGCTTTTACAGCCTGGATCCAATGGTGGTTGTAGGTTTTTCGGGCTGCTTGGCTGTGTGCTTAAGAACACAGCCAAACAGCCCAAAAAACCTACAACAACCAAAGTAGGAAAAGTTTGTTTAATGTGATGCCCAAACCTTCTAGATATTCCTACTAGAAATCAAAATCAAGTCAAAAACAGACCTTAAATTCTAATTTTGATTTGTCAGGATGGGAAAAATCAAGAATCTTGGTTCAGTGATGGGCCAAATCAGAGGTGGACAATTTGGAAACGTCCAGATGCTGCTGGACTAGAACCCCCATCTGCCAGCAAAACCAGGTTGGCTGATGCAGTTTGGCTTGTTCAACTGTTGCAAAGAAAACAAAAAAAGTTGCACATATCAACGAATTTTGGCTCACTGTGCCATGCAAACATAACCCCTCCTTTAGTTCATATGCCGTTCAAGCACACAAGCTTTCTCAAGAAGCATATGAATCTCAGCATAGAAAATTTGTTTCATATCAATTTTTGTTATCCGCATCAGGTCCCTTCAACTTTACAGCAACTCACGCAAGGATTTCAAGATGCAAGAGATGTTCAAGAAGTGCATTATACCATGAGTCTCCATGGTAAGGGGGGGGAAATGAACCAAAGCGTGCTCAGTCTTGTCTGACTCTCCATCTGCTATACCATGCAAGCTCTTAATTACAGCCATCTAACTGGCTGACATTTATTTGAAACTTATCTGTGAAAAGGCAGGCATCTCCATTTTATGACTCTTCTTCCTCATTTCCATTTAGCACATGTTATGACCTCATTAAGGCTGACTGACTTTTTGGGAAATAAGTTTTCCCATGAAAGAGCTACGTGTATCCCTTTTTGGGGCTGAGTGGTGAAAGAGCAGCAACTAACAAGGAGAGATCTTGTGACCAGCACAAGAATGGTCTTTTCCCCACAACAGTAACTTCATTGCAATTCTCAAACAGATGCTTTTGTTAGGAGGAACCCAAGCAAATCCGCACTGACATCCCCTCCCCCTTTTCTACAGGCTACAGAGAAAAAGTTTCAAAGCTAGTAACAAAAACTGCATGCATAGAATATGGGACATCACAATTCAAGAAGCTTGGTGTACTGGCACAGGGCTCGATACGAGACAACTGCACATGTAATTTATAATAATGTGCCATCAAGTCTGACATATGGCAACTCTTCACCGGGTCTTCCAGGTAAATAATCTTTGGAAATGGTTTACCATTCCAGGTAAATAATCTTTGGAAATGGTTTATCATCATTTCCTTCTTCCGGGGGCATCCCGGGACTGGGCAGCTTGCCCAAGGCCACACAGGCTGGCTCTACTGATAGGAGGCACACTGAGAAATCAAACTCGCAATCACTGGCTCTGCAGCCAGCTACCTCTAATACATATACATGCATATAATCTGGTGACCAGTTGACCAGAAACCTAGACCCTGGCATCCTCCTGTGCTTTAAAGAGTGAAAGCTGAGCAACAGTAATATCAGCAGAAATCAGCAGGTAATACAGTACTCTATGTTGCCTATGCATGGAACAGTAGATAAAAAAATCAGCATAATCCCTGCCTAACATCTGATGTAAATGACATATGAGCAAGAGTTGGTAAAGACACAGGCAATTCCCTCCTCTTTATGCTCCTATAATAGCAATCTCTGGCCCAATTCCCTTCACGTCAGCTATAATATAACTTCCAACAGTGCCAAAGGTCACACTGATTGGTAGTCACTGTTCCAACTCATTTGGAGGACATAAAGTTGGAAACAGCTGGTATAAGCAAACAGAAAAGTCAGTTATCCTAATGTAAATACTTATGTATTTACAAGAGGGCTGACCGCCAAAGAATTGATGCTTTTGAACTGTGGTGCTGGAGGAGACTCTTGAGAGTCCCCTGTACTGCAAAGAAAACAAACCTATCCATTTTGAAGAAAATCAACCCTGAGTGCTCACTGGAGGCTCCAATACTTTGGCCATCTCATGAGAAGACTCTGTGGAAAAGACCCTGATGTTGGGAAAGTGTGAAGGCAAGAGGAGAAGGAGACGACAGAGGATGAGATGGTTGGACAGTGTCATCGAAGCTACCAACATTAATTTGACTCAACTCTGGGAGGCAGTGGAAGACAGGAGGGCCTAGCATGCTCGGGTCCATGGGGTCACTAAGAGTCGGACATGACCTAATAACTAAATACGTACTGTAACAACAAAATATTTATGTAACCAAAACAGGCTCACTAATGAACAGGCAAGAGTTCAACCATCAGGACTCTGGGAATCCCAGTTACTGACACATTCAGTTACCACCAACAGTAAGAAATCCTAAGGATCTGAATTACATTCTGCACAGTTATGGATACTACAGTTTGCCCACATCAACTCCTCTTATTCTGCAATGTGACAAGGCCTATGAGCTTCAAGCTCTTCCTAACTCTTAGACTAGCATCTTTTCTGCTTCATCCCAAGATAATACACTTTGAGATTGATCTTCAGCTTCCAGAGTTGTGCTGGAGGTGACTGCATTAAGTAGAGTGGTTCTCTTCTGTATTCAGCACAAGCCATCCTGCTGCAATACTGCCTACAATTCAGTTTTCTAGATTGGGGTAGCTCCTTTAGGGTCTTCCAGTTTTATGGTGCTTAACTTTTTTTCTCATAGATTCATTTCAGAATTAAAGGAAAGTTATGGATCTCTACCCTACCAAAATGGCACATTAATGCAGCTCATGAACTCTCTCATCGAGCTCCCAGGGACCACAGATTAAAAACCTTGGGCCCAGATGCTGCACGGCCACTCCAATTCCCATCATCCCTTGTTATCATATGTGCTGTCACGTTGGTACTGACTTATAGAATAGCACTCAGAGGGTGAAGATTAATGGCTCCTTTTCAAGGAGGAGGAGGTAATAAGTAGAGTACCCCAGAACTCAGTCGTGGGCCCAGTGTTATTCAATTTTTTTTTAAATTAATGAACTGGATCAGGGGATACAGGGAATGCTAATCAAATTTGCGGACGACATAAAATTGGGTGGAATACTAACACCCTGGAAGACAGAAACAAAATTCAAAATTATCTAAATAGGCTTGAGCACTGGGCTGAAAACAACAGAATGAAATTCAGCTGGGATGAATGCAAAGTTCTGCACCTAGAAAAAAGAAACCAAACACAGAGTTACAAGATGGGGAATACCTGGCTCAGCAACACCATGAGCAAGAAGAACCATGAATTGTCATAGATCTCAAGTTGAATATGAGCCAACAGTGTGATGTGGCCACAAAAAAGCTAAACGCTAGTTTAGGCCGCATTAACAGAAGTATACTCTTCAAATCCTGAAACGTACGATTTCCTCTCTATTCAGCAGTGGTTAGACCTCATCTTGAGTACTGTGTCCAGTTCTAGACACGGCACTTCAAGAAGCATGCCAACAAGTTCAAAGGGCAACAAGAATGATCAGGGGGCTAGAGACCAAGCCTTATGAGCAAAGACTGAAAGAAATGGGCACATTTAGCCTTGAGAAAAGCCTGAGAGGAGATATGATAGCAGTTTTCAAATACCTGAAAGACTGTCATACAGAGGAGGAGCAGGATCTGTTCTCAATCATCCCAGAGTGCAAAACACGCAACAATGGGCTCAAGTGACAGGAAGCCAGATTTTGGTTGAATATCAGGAAATACTTCCTAACTGTTAGAGCAGTATGTCAATGGAATCAATTACCTTGAGAAGTGGGGAGTGTTCCAACACTGGAGGCATTCAAGAGAAATTTAGACAACCGCTTGGCAGATATCCTTTGATCTGTATTCCTAAAGATCAAAGGATATTTGGAGGTTGGACTTGATGGTCTTATAGGCCCCTTCCAACTTCATGATTCTATGATAGTGACCCTGAAGGAGCTTTCAAGGTAAGTGAGATATCTAAGAGGCAGCTTTACCAGTTCCACACTCTCACTGAACTTCCATGGCTAAGCAGGAATCTGAAAATGAGCCCAGGCCTCCTGAGTCCTAGTCCATTACTCTATCCACTACACCACACTGGGTATGCCATCATCCCTCAGCACTACCTAGGCTGCTTGGCACTAAGAGGTCACGGTCCAACAACATCTGAAGCACCACAAGTTGCACATTCTTGCTTTGAACTACAAGAGCCCTATATCTGATGAAGTGGGTTTTAGTCTTCAAAAGGTTATGCCACAGTAAATGCAACCATGTTTAAAAGTAACAAAATTTTCTTCGAATTTTTACTGGTGGCTTTTTTTTTACTTGTGCAGTCAGATGGGGAAAAAGGAAGGAACTGGATATATGCCACAAAATTCAAATTAAATTCCATGTTTCAGGTTAGACCTAAGTGATCCCTGGGTTGTTGTGGGTTTTTCGGGTTCTTTGGCGATGTTCTGAAGGTTGTTCTTCCTAACGTTTTGCCAGTCTCTGTGGCCAGCATCTTCAGAGGACAGCACTCTGAGCTCCCTGGGTCTTATAAAACTGAGAAGCATCCACATTCTACATGCTCTCCAAAGCCAGTTTCACATGCAAGATGGTGTTTTGGAGTGACTACCTACAACATAACAGGTATCTTATACCAAACATACCCAACCGGCGAACTCCTGACTATTACTTACAGTTGATTCTTAAGCATGTTTACTCAGGAACAGGTCCTCTTCAGTTCACCAGAGGGTGGCTAAGAAGCCGTAAAGGAGAGCTATTCTTTATTTCCAGCACCTTCTGTACACAAGGAGAATAACTGGAACTGATCCTAGGTGGGACAGTAAAATGTAGATAGTAAGATGAAGTTACCAACACCCTATATTAGAGAATTGCTTCTTTAGAGGCACCTCCATGCCTAGAAATCCTTCCCTAGTTCACAGGTGGTGATAAAAAGAGCAAACATGAGGAAGGTTGCNGGGGGGGGGGGGCGGCGACGATCACGGTGTTCAAGAAACTGGTCGCCAATGCCAAGGCAAGATGAGCTTCCATGGGAGAGTGCAATCTATCAAAACCATCCTAGCTATTTCCAAATGCTTACTTATTCGTTGCTATTAACCCATCCCCATTCCAAGTCACTATCTCCTCGCAAAACTTTAGCTGATAATTCCCCGAGCAAAAAGGGGGTCGTGGTGGGTTTTACCAGTTTCCAAGAAACACGCCGAAAACCCCACTTGCAATTGCACCGGGGGTGGGGGTGCGCGGGGACGCACGTGAAATGCCACACGAGGCAACATCCCCTTTCCTATCTAAGCTACTGGATCCCAAGTGCCAGATCCTATTACTGCGTACCCACACCCACCAGATTACTACCCGAGTCCTTTTTTTGTCGGAAGCATGGGTTCAACGAGGCTTACTTGCTTCCCAAATAAGGGAAAGTCAGACTGCTGACCACGCCAAGGGCACTCATCCCCCAAGGAGTCCCTTCCTCCCTAGGAGCCCCAAAGCGCCGAAGGATTTCCTCCCACCTCCCCCCCTTAGCCCAGGGAAAGCTTAAGAGAACCCCCGGACTGACCTGGAAGCCACGGCGAGCAAAGACGAAGGCACGCCACCCAACCCAACTTATTGCCGCTCTAGCCCCGCCCTCGCCGCCCCAAACGGGAGAAAAAGAGACTCGCGCAGCCAATCACAGCTCTCGTAAATTCCTCTCAGGCTGTGAGTATTAGCCAATCAGAGCTCACGGGGAGCACGCATTGTCTTTCTGTTTCTCCTCCCAGTTAGGAAGCCTCCGGCGTTGCAAAAGCCGGGTTTGCAGAAGCAGCTGATAAGCGGAAGGGAAAGCGAGGGTGGGGGCGAGGTTAGCATTGACGTTGCTAGGTCTAAACTGAAGGGCAAACAACGCGGCTCCTTTGCTTTCTCATTGGTTCCCCAAGGGGCTGCTGTTACCATAGTGATTTGGGAAGACTTCATCGGGCTTCTTAGAAAAGCCCGAGTCAAATCGCATCAGAAAAGGGTCACTTTGCAGGGAACGATGGCCTTAAAGCGGGTTCTCACTGTGGTGCAGTGGACAGAGTGAAGGAACAAGTCTCTAGATGTGGAAACTCGCTGGAGAACTAGCAAAACCACTCCTTTCCTCTCTCACATACCTTGAAAACGCTATTAGGGTCGCTAAGTCGTTCATAGCATGCACATGGCCCTAAAGCAACCTTTCCATCTGGTGAGGCATTGCTCCACCCTGGTTCCTAAAAGTAGTAGTCCTGCAGCTGGGCCAGAAGGGTCTGAATCGGGCACAGATCACGATCAGGCTGGAGCACATTTCTTCCTACCCTGTGATCACTGGGAAATGGATCACAGTGCATCACTGTGCATGATGAGGTCCAAAATTCAATGTATCTCTGCGTCATCACACCTTTAGTGGAGGATTTACTTACTACTGAGGAGATGTATTATACGCCACCTCCAGTGTTGCTGGACTTAGGCCTGATGAAGGAAGCTGCAGTTTTCCAACAATAGAAATCATAGCTGTGTGATCTGTCTGAGGTTGGGCAGTAGTACCTTTACTAAACAGTTACAAATAAAGTGAGGTTTCAACTTCTACAGAATTCTTCATCAGGCAAAAATGGTATAAACTTTGGAGTTTGGACTTTTTGCTTGAACCCCAAATCATACTATTGTTACTGGATGGAAAATTACACAGAATTTGAAAGCTCACCTTGTATAATCCAGAAATTCTGAATCTTCAGAAGCTTATTCCAAACAAAAAATGAAGAAGAATACTTTATTACGATCAACAGATCAGATGTGAATAACACAGAATAACCGCACAAGTATAAACAGAATCAATACAATTATAATATACAGTATGTGCAGAAGACTCTTAGGGGAACAAAATCCGTAAATAAATCTTAGGAGTATACCCCTACCCCCAGTTCATATATATTCATATATGGGTACATACATGTGTATATCTACAGGATTAAGACACCATTTCTCGCCTGCAGACCAGTGCCGCTGCAGAGAAGCTGGCCACTTTAATCGTTACTGATGGACATTGGTCTGCCAGCAGATAGCATGTATGGTACTCATCATCTCTACTGGGGATGCATTGCAAAATTGGACAAATAAAAGTATAACGGATACCAGTATAGAAGTATAGAAGGAGCAATACAACAGAACATGGCCAACCGTCTCCACCACTCCAGCCTCACAAGGACATAACCGCTACAAAAAATGTAGGCTTTATGATGACGCAGGCCTTTTGTTCTATCAGGAGGAAATGTACTTGGGGATTATTTTCTTAAATAGTGCAGGCTGAAGTGTCTTTATTCAGTTTGGTTTAGGGTTGGTAAGTCAGCAGCATTTCATTCCCTGCAATTTTGGGACCAACATCAGAGACAAGGAACTGGACCTTTTCTGTGTCAGAGAGGAAGTGCAGCCAAGGGTTGGAAGGAAAGCAAGATGGAATTTTGAGTAATCTGGATTGCATCTATTTTATCTTGCAAGTGAGTGATAGTTCCAGTCTCACAGGAAAAATTTCTTCTCCCATGAGAAGGATCCAGATAGAAGTTCTGATTACTCCACTTCCTTCCCTTTTTATTATTATTAATGCCCCTCCTCCACCTGTTTCCCACCTTTTGTCGTGTGTGTCATTCCACAGGCTGTGGCAACGTCCCCTTTTCTCTCTCTTTAATTTTGTAAACAGCATAGCAGTACATCCTAGCATGGATCAAGAAGTTTTATGGGTTCCAAACCTTTGGTGAACACAAAACTTTCAGGATGCTTTTGTTTCAGGAAAAGCAAGCTTTGTGGTGGAGAAAAAAATGACAGAAGGAGGGGTAAAAAATACTGCTTGTAGTGGTGAGGAAATGGCAGGAAAGCGGGAGGTTTTAAAAAAAGGGGGTTTACCAGTGAGAAAGTTACTGAAGAATGGGGCTTTAAATATTGGGACTTGCATGGAGGAGAAACAACTGAAGAGTGGTGGGGGCTGAAGAATGTGTACGTGAGGAAATGATAGCAGCGGAGAATTAAAGAACAGGTCTTACAAGGTTGACGTGTGCAGACTCCAGGAGGCTATCTGAAATCCAGAAGATTCAATACTTACTCATATGAATGATCCATTTTCCCTTCCACATCCAGGCTCCCTATGGGAAGTCACAGAAGACTGAAAATGGGGGGGAAAGGGCCAATTTCAGGATTTAACAATTTGGAAGGCTCTGAAAACCCCATGCCTTATAAATATTGTACTACAGAAAGCATATTTTTGATATTTTTGAGTTGTTGCTTCTCTGTATACATCAAACCAAGATACGTTTTGCAATTTAAACAAGTATTCTATTTGTATTCCAGTCCAGAATATGAAATATTATCTCCATCAGATAATACTGGCAGCTCTGTCTAACATGGATACCTAAATCTCATTTTATTTCCATATGCCTATTTTTCAGTGTTTTCAAGTAAAAAACCACAGACGTCTCCAGATGCTGTCTTTTTCTTTTTCTTTTTCCTAATTCTAGATTTTATAGGGCTATTTATACTTAGTTTAGTTCATTATTATTATAATCCATAACCACTGAACATAATACAGACTGAATTTATAAGGCAATCACAACACTAATGCAGAGATAAAAAGAGATAAAGTTCTAGCTTAAAATCATTGCCCATTAAATCTTTATGTATCTTGTATTCAGCTGTGAGAAACTTATGATTTAATTATACGGGTGTCGACATTTGTTTATTTTTAATTTTTTGTTACTGTAGGATTTTGAAGATTTTAAGTTTTGATCTTATAGCCAACCAGAATACTGCCTGCACTAGAGTGTGTGTGTGTGTGTGTGTGTGTGTGTGTGTGTGTGTGTTTATATAAATTGAATAAATAAGTACAGTGGTGCCTCAACTTACAAACGTCCCTACTTACAACCCTTTTGAGTTTAAATGCCAGCTCCGCCTGCAAAATTTTGCTTTTACTTGTGACCGGAGCTTCCACTCTCAAAAGGCAAGTCAGGTATAATTTAGGTGGCGACGAGGCTGCTTCTTTGTAGCTCTTTTGCCCCAGCAGTTAAGAGAGTGTGCGATCGGAGGAGGCTTGGAACTGCCTGGCTTCTACTTCTTAGTGAGCGTGTGTATGTTTTCAGGGAGGCGTGAGACTGCCTGATAAGGTAAGGTGCTATTTTCTGCTTTTAAAAAAATGTTCTGGGTGGTTTTGCAACGTAGCTTTGGGCAGGGTGCATGTTATGTTTCTGTGCTGTGATGGATCTTGGGGGGTTTGTTTTTGGTTCCCCCCCAATTCCAATGGGTCTTGGGGGGTTTGGTTGCTTTTTGGAGTGTTTTTCCCCCATTTCTGATGGGTCTTGGGGTTTTGTTTATTTGTTGGTGCTTTGCTTTTTCCCCATTTCTGATCTTCTTGCATGCTTCGTTAGATTTTTTGCATTGCTTTTTCCCCATTTCGATCTGTCTTGCATGCTCTACTTGCTTTTTTTCTCCCACCCCCTTCAGCCAGAAGGGCTTAATTGTGTTTCTGATGAGTCTTGCAGTGATTTTTTTCGGTAATTTTTTTCTTTGGCTGGAACGGATTAATTGCATTTCAATGGGGAATGGTGCTTCGACTTACAACCATTTTGACTTACGCCCATCTTCTGGAATGGATTAAGTTCGTAAATTGAGGCATCACTGTACTCCCTTATACATGAAATACCACTCTGTCACTTAGGATAATTTTTTTTTAAAACTTGTAAGAGGAGGAAACTAGACAGGGTTTCTCTGCCATCCTTTCTTCTGCTACAACTCACTGTATACGTCATTGGGTTGTCACCAAAGGGAATGTCACCCACTGTTCTGTTTGGGAGTCAATTGAACAACCACACAAACTGCAGAATGGAATAATCTCCATTGCACCTCCAAATTGCACCAAATAAACTGCAGCCCTAGTGCTGTGCCAGAAAGGAATGGAACAGCTCACAAAAGGGATGAAATGTTCTCACTTAAAACACAGGAGGTTGTTGGAAAATTAGGGCAAACTGAACCATACCAAAGGAAAGCAATTAGTGAGCTATATGCTTGTCTCCCTCTTCATGGATTGCTGCTTTATCATGGCGAAGGGGCTTGAGTAACTCAGAGAAGCTATGGGCTATGCCGTGCAGGGCCACCCAAGATGGACAGGACATAGTGGAGAGTTCCGACTAAACACAATCCACCTGGGATAGGAATTGGCAAGCCACTCCAGTATCTTTGCCAAGAAAACTCCATGGACAGAAACAAAAGGCTGTCAGAAGGTGTCCAACATGCTACTGAGGAAGAGTGGAGGACAAGTACAAGTAGCTCCAGAGGTAATGAAGTGGTTGGGCCAAAGCCGAAAGGACGCTCAGCTGTGGACGTGCCTGAAAGTGAAAGGAAAGTCCAATGCTGCATAGGAACCTGGAATGTAAGATCTATGAACCTTGGGAAGCTGGATGTGGTCAAACAGGAGATGACAAGAATAAACACTGACATCCTAGGCATCAGTGAACTAAAATGGACAGGAATGGGCGAATTCAATTCAGATGATTATCGTATCTACTGTTATGGGCAAGGATCCCGTAGAAGGAATGGAGTAGCCCTCATAGTAAACAAATGAGTGGGAAAAGCTGTAATGCGATATAATCTCAAAAATGATAGAATGATTTCAATATGAA